TTAAACTTACAGAGGCCAATGAAGTGGTACAACTATAGCCTAACTTCAAATATTCGCGTTTAAATTAATGAAGGGTTGTTTTTATCCAACATACACCGCCATCAAAGTCCATTCATAGTTACAATGCTTTAGAAGACAAAGCACAAACGCTACACGCCCCTTTTACCCAAAACATCCTTCTTGCCATTATTATCAGGTCAAAAATAATTTCTTGTTCAGGTTTTAATTTAACGTTAACGCCGAAATTTGGTTTTATTTTCCGAAATGATTCGCAGATAGAATAGAACAGGTGGATGTCATTATGTTTGTTTACATTCTCTCCACCTGCGATTGCCTTTTTGATTGGCTGTTATAAAAGCCTTATATTTAGCCGCACCTTGATACATGCCATAGCGTCATACGTCTTCTGTTTAAAATGGAGATCATAGTAACCGCTTAACGCCTCGATTTTAATTACGGCGATTTATACCCGTTTCAGGTAGGATTGTATGCTTAATTGTAGTTGAATGTGGCAGAAATATTTTAAATAACAATTATCAGTCGTTGTTTTGATGAAAAATATTGTCAATTTTGCTTACTGAGGCAATGCAAAAGCTTTTTTAAATTTTTGAATCTGACTAAAATTGAATATTAACTAGTTTTCCAACCCCCCTCCCATTTAAGAAACCAAAAACAATTTAAAAATCGATTAAGAAATAAGAATGTTATTGCACTTTTATGACCCAAAATTGATTGATGTCAGTATACACTTTTTTTTTTAAATTTGCAAAAAAAGTGACCGAAGACAATTTCTCAGCAACCATTGAAGAAATAGGCATCAAATTTGCAGGAAACATCCTTCGAACCATTAACTATTTATTGGAATTTTTTAAATTTGGGCTATATAATTTATTTCATTTGATATAGGGGTCTTTCTATGAGAAAATACGTTTACTTTCAGTGACTAGCGCCGTTTTTGGCTTTTCCTGATAATTTAATTTTTTTCAAAATATAAGAAATAAGTCGTAAATACGTTTCTGAATGTCCAAACCACTCTAGACACTAACTCTAATTTTTACTGAAAACGAAAAGCGCAAAGCCATCGATGTTGGTGTTCATACAACTTCGAGAAGTCGCGGAACAAAAACGACACATTTTACGGTCATTTTTTTTTGACATTGATAAAAATAATATCAGTTGCGCCTCTAGCGAGCTTTTTTTTGCATTGCTACTTTGCTACGTGGAACTATATAGGACCATCCCTTATCTCGAAACACGGCGGGTTAAGAGATGAGGTTTTGTTATCTATTAGACAGCCCTATCCAGAAATAACAGAATTAAAGCCATACGGGATAGTTGAATTTTTTGTTGTCATCCCTACTCACAGCTAGCGTAGCCCTATAGTGATCGACAATTCATGAAACTGATTCTCAAGCCTTTCCAAATGATGGCCGACACTCAATTATGATACTGTCACAAACCAAAATCAACCCACCATTATTTTTACTTTTGGTTTTAGTACAGTGTAGCTGGTCTAACTTTGTCATTATTCATAACCATGCACAACTGTTGGTTTACTCTCCTGAACCAATCTCCCAAACAGAGTTGTCTTCCCTTGTAGTTCACACTATGCTGGATAGCGAGACTTGTATAGAGAATGCTCCTGCACGTGTCACAAAAATTAGATCTTTATACTGTTGTATATTCAACAGAGACGAGGATCTTCACCACACGAACAACTCACAATCGAGGTAATTTTCTATTTCTGTATCTTCTTCCTGTACGAAAGTCAACTTGGACCAAAACCCCCAAAATCCCTTTCTTTATTTTGAAGTCACACAGAGAAGAATGAAAAATATACTAAGCTAACTGGAGCAGAATTGTGCAAACAAAATAATGTTGTTAACTTGAACCCATACTGCTCGAATGTCTGTTACGCTTTAAAGGACAATGTTCGTGTCAGTCATTATTACATATATGATAGAACTGGTTAAATACATTCCAAATATAATTTTAACACAGAGATCATTGCTACGGTAGATGTGTAAGTAGTACGTGAAGAAACGGGAAGTGAAGACAAACGTGATAAACACAAGTTATCCCTCTATATAACTGACTGAAGTAACGAGTGATAACAGACACCCAGGCGAATTTCCTTTCACTTATAATTCCGTTGATGTTGAAAAGTTATTATATGAGACGGTGAGAGGATATCTGACAATTAAGATCTTAAATTCTGTGTATCAATCTGAAGTCAATCGGATGATAACTTTTGCCTCTAGAGCGTCACAAAGTGATCAAGGGCCATAACTTTGGCAGTAATTATCGTAAATTGCTGAAAATCAATGGGATTCTTCGTCTCATGACCTTAAGCACTGTGTATAAATTTAAAGTCAATCGGATATTGACTTTAGCCTCTAGAGCCTCCACAAGATTTTTCAAAATGATCAAGGGTCATAACTTTGGCAGTAATTTTTGGGAAATCATTAAAAATCAATAGGCTTCTTTGTCTCATGACCTTAAACACTGTGTATAAATTTAAAGTCAATCGGATATTAACTTTAGCCTCTAGAGCCTCCACAAGATTTTTCAAAATGATCAAGGGCCATAACTCTGACAGTAATAATCGAAAATCGCTGAAAATCAATAGGCTTCTTTGTCTCATGACCTTAAACACTGTGTATAAATTTAAAGTCAATCGGATATTAACTTTGGCCTCTAGAGCGTCCACAAGATTTTTCAAAATGATCAAGGGCCATAACTCTGGCAGTAATTATCGGAAATTGCTGAAAATCAATAGGCGTCTTCATCTTGTGACCTTAAACGCTGTGTATAAATTAAAAGTCAATCGGATATTAACTTTAGCCCCTAGAGCATCCACAAGATTTTTCAAAGTGATCAAGGGCCATAACTCTGGTAAAGATAGGTTGCCAGGCAACCAAACATACGCCCACAGCAGCTAAATCGTCCGGGGAGTCAACAAGAGTTGTCGCATACTTTTACTTCTTTCGGTAATTAAACATTTATAATACATTAAAATCTGATAAAGAGTAACAACTAATTAAGTAATTATCAGAAAACCATTAGAATTTGTTTGGTTTTTATAAAGTTCTGCCCCATGCTAATGTTTAGTATAGAAAACTTTTAACATCATGGATTTAGTTGTTCAAGTCATAAAAATTCATTGAAAATAAATATACTTGTTCGTCTCAAGACCTTAAACTCTGTGTATCAATCTGAAGTCAATCGGATGATAACTTTAGCCTCTAGAGTGTCAGAAGATTTTTCAAAGTGATCAAGGGCCATAACTCTGGCAGAACTTATCAGAAATCGCCGAAAATCAATAGGCTTCTTCGTCTCATGACATTAAACACTGTGTATAAATTTAAAGTCAAACGGATATTAACTTTAGCCTCTAGAGCGTCCACAAGATTTTTCAAAGGGATCAAGGGCCATAACTCTGGCAGTAATTATCAGAAATCGCTTAAAACATGACATTAAACACTGTATATAAATTTAAAGTCAATCGGATATTAACTTCGGCTTCTAGAGCGTCCACAAGATTTTTGAAAGTGATCAAGGACCATAACTCTGGCAGTAATTATCTGAAATCGCTGAAAATCAATAGGCTTCTTTGTCTCATGACCTTAAACACTGTGTATAAATCTAAAGTAAATCGGATATTAACTTTAGCCTCTAGATCGTCCACAAGATTTTATGAAGTGACCAAGGGCCATAACTCTGGTAGTAATTATCAGAAATCGCTGAAAATCAATAGGCTTCTTCGTCTCATGACCTTAAACACTGTGTATAAATTTAAAGTCAATCAGATATTAACTTTAGCCTCTAGAGCTTGTGGACGCCGGATCGACGGGGGTGACGACAATATACGACCACATTTCAATGTGGGCGTATAAAAATTATCGGAAATCGATGAAAATCAATAGGATTTTTCGTCTCTTGACCTTAAACACTGTGTATCAATTTCAAGTTAATCGGATATTAACTTTAGCCTCTAAAGCGTCCACAAGATTTGTTCAAAGTGAGCAAGGGCCATAACTCTGGCAGTAATTATCGAAAATCACTGAAAATCAAAAGGCTTCTTTGTCTCATAACCTTAAACACTGTGTATAAATTTAAAGTCAATCGGATATTTACTTTAGTCTCTAGAGCGTCCACAAGATTTTTTCAAAGTGAGCAAGGGCCATAACTCTGGCAGTAATTATGGAAAATCGCTGAAAATCAATAGGCTTCTTCGTCTCATGACCTTAAACACTGTGGATAAATTTAAAGTCAATCGGATATTAACTTTAGCCTATAGACGTCCACAAGCAATTGTGGACGCCGGACCGACGGACGGGTACAACAACAATATACGACCACACTTCAATGTGGGCGTATAAAAACGGGGGAATGCACAGGATTTTTCTCCTTTCCCCTTATGTAGTGACAGCCAATTCTAGTTTTGAATTGTGAGATACCCTCTCACCATCTCATATATAACTTTTCACCATCAACAGAATTATAAGTGAAATGAAATTCGATGGTGTGTCTGTTATCGCTCGTTACATTCAGTTACATTGAGGGATAACTTGTGTTTGTCATGTTTGTCGTCACTTCCCATTTATTCAAGTGTTTGTTACACATCTCTGTAGCAATGATCTCTGTTAAAATTATATTTGGAATGTATTTAACCAGTTCTATCATATAAGTAATAATGACTAACACCAACATTGTCCTTTAAACAGACTTCCATATTGGACCAAATATGTTTACATAACGTTACGTTATGACTCACGATTTTATTATGCCCAATTAACCAGTGCATAGCTGAATATTGCGGAAAAACTAATTGAGTGACAAACAAGCCTATCAATAGTAAACAATATTGTTTGGAGACGTACAATATTTTCACCGTTTTTAATACCTTTAATCACTGTTGAAAGTTTTAGGTAATACCCCAGATTAAACGAAGGGCTGTTATGTTGCTATACTTGGGATAGATTTGATTGAACGGAAAGAATAGACACACTCCTTCAAAAGCTCAATTATTAGAAGCCAATCCAGCAATGTCCAGAGAGGGATTCAGGAATATGACTTGAACCGGGTTTCCAAAAAAGTATTACTAAATATACACAAAGTAAAACACACATTTTATTTATTTGAGTGTGAACAGTTATTAAGTAAGTCTGAACTGTTAATGAATCATATTAATACTGGCTTATTCCTTATCCAAGGGAGATAACTATTATTTCATATACTCTCTACAATAGAGATTACTTTTAGTTATGGCCTATTTTTTTTATTTTACAGATATTAAGGTTTCTATCCAGTATGAATTTCTGTGTGTCTTTTTAAACTATATCTTTGTCAGCAGTATGAATTCTCATGTAGCCATGTAGATGATTAATCCGATTAAATGATATACTGCAAACATCACATTTATAAGGTTTCTAATCAGTGTGCATTTCTATGTGTCTTTTTAAACTATTTCTTTGCCTAAATGATTTATCACAAACATCACATTTATAAGGTTTGACACCAGCATGAATTTCTGCATGTATTTTTAAACTATATCTACGCCTAAATCGCTTATCGCAAACATCACATTTATAAGGTTTGTTAGCAGTATGAATTCTCATGTGCTGTTGTAGATAACTAGTCTGACTGAATGATTTACTGCAAACATCACATTTATAAGGCTTCTCACCAGTATGAATTCTCATGTGTGTCTGTAAAGCTTTATACTGGATGAATGATTTACCACAAACATCACATTTATAAGGCTTGTCCTCGGTATGAATTCTGGTGTGGATTTGTAGATTACCATTCAGACTAAACGATTTACTGCAAACATCACACTTATAAGGTTTTTCACCAGTATGAATTCTCGTGTGTATCCGTAGAGCTTGATTCTGTGAAAATGATTTACTACAAACATCACACGTATAAGGTTTTTCACCTGTATGAATTCTCATGTGTGGTAGTAGAGTGCTACTCTGGGTGAATGTTTTACCACAAACATCACATTTATATGGTTTATCCTTGGTGTGAGTTCTCATGTGTGACTGTAGAGTACCTTTCTGACTAAATGATTTACTACAAACATCACATTTAAAACGTCTTTCCCCAATATGAACCTTTATGTGTCTCTGTAGATTACACTTAAGAGTAAATGATTTGAAACAAAAATCACATTTATAACTTTTTACTTCAGTATCAATACTCGTACTATCAGCTGATAGTAGGCCTACATAAATACCCCGACTGTCAGCTGATTCTAGGCCTACATCACTATCATTATCAGTGTTCAACTCTTCTTCAATATGTATTTCACAATGTTTCTCTAAATCAGTATCCGATTTAAATTCTTCATCACATAAATTACACTGATGAACTGTTTCAACATCATCAGTTTTCTCTTCTTTAACATGTATTTTATTGTGTTTTTCTAAATCATCAAGTTGTTGAAAAATCTCATCACATACAACACACTGATGAAATGTTTTAACATCATTAGTCTCCTGTAATATATAAAAGTTATAACACGAAATGAAATGAAAATGAAATGAAATGGGGTTTAACGTCAAGTTATAACATCATTAGTTCCCTGTAATATATAAAAGTTATAACATCATTAGTATCCTGTAATATATAAAAGTTATAACATCATTAGTTTCCTGTAATATATAAAAGATATAACGTCATTAGTCTCCTGTAATATATAAATGTTATAACACCATTAGTTTCCTTTAATATATAAATGTTATAACATCATTAGTGTCCTGTAATATATAAAAGTTATAACATCATTAGTTTCCTGTAATATATTAAAGTTATAACATCATTAGTTTCCTGTAATATATAAAAGTTATAACATCATTAGTTTCCTGTAATATATAAAAGTTATAACATCATTAGTTTCATGTAATATATAAAAGTTATAACATCATTAGTTCCCTGTAATATATAAAATCATTTATGATTGACCTATATCATTTAAAAAAAACATCACTGAATTTGTCACATATTTTCAGGGGGTGTAACTCTGTACATAATATAGGAGGCACTTAAACTTCTGTTTAGCAACAAAGCAGCAATGGAAAATAGATACTAGATGTTTGTGACAAAACTCGGCTTCGTAGGTACTTTTAGTTTATTCAATCAGAGAGAGATGGGGTTTAACCTCCACTATCAAACTAGGTCATTTCGGGACTAACATATGGTTTAATATTTTTCTTTTATTTCAATAATGCGCTTGCGCGTAGGGGTCTTTAGCAGTGGGAGGAAACCAGATGACCTGCAGAAAACCCACGAGGTTGGACAGACGATCCTATTCCTTGTCACGTACAACCGGAGGAATCGAAACCACGTCGGTTGAGTCAATGATAGACCTTATGATAAAGGGCACTCATGCTAACTATTGCTAACCATTCAGCCACCCACCCCCCACCCCTATTTAGTGTAAATGGGAAAGTAAAATAGCATGTGAAGGTGTAAAATGAGTAAATGGTGCAAAGTCTTGACCATTTTGTGTAACTATGTCAGATATGAACAATAAACATTCTATACCACACTGCAAGGTCAGTCAACTTGCCCAGAGTCAAAAGCTCGGCCATCCAGCCCCCCACAGGATTAGCAGAGGTGCTACAATCATTCAACAATGGCTCTATTTTGCTAAATTTATTAGTAAAACAGTGTGACCACTAGCCGTGTTAGAGTGACCGTTGATTGAAGAGAAGAAACAAGAGAATTTCTACGGGGAGCAGAATTTATCGTGACCGCTTACAAGTAGATGTCACTGAATAGGAATGACTGCTCGTACCACACTGCAATTGAACTCAAAGGTCAGTCATCTTGCCTTTGTTATTCCCTGAATTCTGTACATCTCAGAATGATAGAAACAATGAGTAACAAACACTAATTGTTATCAATACATTATGGTTTCCTTCCCCTAGTTTTCGATTTCTTTCTTGTGCGGTTAACCCCCTTTCATCTTGTATTAATGGTTTCACCTGCTAATTAGTGTTTAATTGTTATCTATATATTCCTATCTCTCATATCGTTAATCTCTTATTATAATTATTAGTTTGATCTGCTAATATTTCTAATTGTTATCAATACATTAGTCTTTCATCTTGTTAATCCTTTGTAATTGTTTATCCACATCTTGTTAATTCTTAATTAATGATTAATCTGTTACATGGTTTCCAATTGTTAACTATATATTGCACCACATTTTTGTTATAAATCATTATTTGCTTGATAACGATATCTGTATGTGTATCGAAACGTAGCATGTTAATAAATTCAGAAGTAGTATATCCATTTAAGTGTTTTTAATCTTAACACTGAGTCGATTAAAATCGGAGGAGAATTGACTAAGTTACTGTCCATTTAGTAACGATAACTGGGAGACCCCATTTATTACTGAATTGGCCATTTGGCTTCAATTTTCAAAAATGAAATGGGGTTTAACGTCCTACTGTTCTGCTCCTATACTGGGCTAATGAAGACGGAATACGCCATACAGGTTAGGTGCAGAAGAGTAGGATGTTAAACCCCATTTCATTTTCGTCTTCATTAGCCCAGTTGGAGCTGAACAGTACCTGACGTTAAACCCCATTTCATATCATTTCCTATACAGCATTTTGAGGCATTCATGTTTGATGTAACTCTCATTTTTGTGTTATAGGTTTTAATCTTAAATACCTGACACTAACCATAACCTAATAGAAAATAGGAAGTTCCATGGGGACACAGTACGGACGGCTAACCGCTAGTTTTTCAGTGTAAAAGTGATGGAAGTAGAAACGGGAGTCGGATCAAACATGATCGCTCATTTTGTTTACATTATTGATGTTGATCTCGGATTTTAAAATTCCATAACTTTAGATCTAATTAGAACATTTTGATAATTTTTATTTTTTTATTTGTTTTTTTAAATCGGTCATTTATAACTTTGACCTGAATTTCTGAAACCTCTATTTCAAGTAACTAAGTCTCTAATTCAATATCATCCAAAGTCTTACACGTTGAAAACACGAATTATTTGTCAATTCAAATCAACATTGATGTTGTGATCTTACCGGGAAAAGGTAGGCTTCTGATATCCAATATTTAAGACAAAATAAACATTTTACACGAATCGTGTACAGGGCTGCCGACAACCAGTATCACAGCGCAATTTGCGATACATATTTTGTCCGTTGCTAACCAAAAATTAAAATCTAACGTTTTTGATTCGCAGTTACTGCGAATCATCAATATTCCTGTCATTTTGGATATTGACACAAGAATAATCCACATTTTGAAGACTAGGAGGCTTACTCAACACTTTCAACGTGTATAAAATGTTGAATAAAATTTTATAAACAAAACTGAATTCTCCGTGTGACATTTTCTTCTCGAACTACCAGACACAATACTATATAACACATAACTCTATGAATAGGGACTATTAAACCGGAAATAGGGAATCAAGTAGTACCACTCACGTTGCGAGACATCAAGTAATTATATCATATTCATTTTGAAAGAAATAAATCCAATGTATCCCCCACGTATTGTAAATAAAATATAAAAAAAAAACCTCATGTTAACGTATTGTAAAATGATAAATCAAAGTAAAAATTCCCGTAAAACATTATTGTTGATATCGTGTGTGTCTAGTTAATCGAGGTGTGTCCGATTGAAGAAAAATAGTAATACACGATAAAAAGCAGACGAAATTGTTTTCTAACGAAGATTTCTAACGTAACAAAAAAATAACAATTAAAATGAGTGGGGCTTCGGAAGTCACTGTCAAGAATTGGCTTCAGACATAAGACCTAACTAAATTTCTACATCACATTCACAAACTGTCACAAGTACTTGTGGCAGTGCTAAAAAATCTAAGAATAGTCAGAATGGAATCTAATCATATTTGTTATGAGCTAAAGTAATATCTTGTTATTTAGGTGTTTTACATTGAAACTGAAAAACTGCTAATCAATTTTTAAATTTGCTAATCAAATTTGGCGAAATTGGACTTTTTGATTAGCAGTGCTGCTAATCAACTGTGAAAAATTACAGACAGCCCTGATCGTGTACCATAGTGCGTTTCATCGTCATTTATAACAAGTGACCAGAAAGAGCGAGGCTAGACATATTCCACAACTCATGTCATACGACGACGCCATAACTTGTCTGGAGAGCATGCGCAGTAGACTGGAATAACCGGCCGCTAGAAATTTCTATTCGGTTGAGACTTATGCCGTATTTCGCTTGGCCTAACTGATTTGAAATTAGAGTCAAAGCGGAAACAATTGAATTTAATTCAGTTCATATACAATCAGATTACATTATTATATGCGTTGCGACCCATTTGGGTCAATTTTTAGGTCCCAAATATTAGCAATTTAGCTCCTTTCAGTATTTGATACAATAAAATCTTATGTTACCATGGTGATTATTTACTTCTGTGTACCCGAACTGTCTGTAGTGGAACTCAGGTGATTATTCTGTTTAAGGTTACAATTCTATTGTTTGGGTGATAAATAAACCTGAAAACGCCTTAAATGGTTTCCTTGACTCTTTTAATTGGACAAATTGACATGGCCACGGTTCATCCAAAATCACTTCCGGTGCATCCTGTTTTCAGGTTGTATCTTTATTCTGTACGCGGATCAACCGGACCCGAGTCATTCATACTTCAAATGTAACTCGACGTGTTGCTCTTTTTTGTTCAATAAAAGAAATGGGGTTTAATGTCGTACTGTTCTGCTCCGACTGGGCTAATGAAGACGAGTACATGACATACAGTGTGCTATGAGGCAAATTTTGCCCGGGCAGCGACATTATGGCCTATTCTTATATCGAATTCCAGCTGCCACGGGATCTTTTACGTGCATGCCAATGTATACACGGAACCTGGGTTTTACATGCATACCAATGTATACAAGGGCCTTCGCTTTTTCATCACATCCAAACGACTAGACAGCTGGCCTTTTCAGGCCCTACGTCCTGCACAACTGACAAGGAGAAACCCAATCTGTTTCACAGAGAATTACGAGTCTAGTATAATATCTCTGTCAAAGATGACTGCCTAAACACGTGCCGTCACAGCATGCAGCGTCAATCATTGGCTGAATGGCGCGTGCATTGTTTACATAAGACGTTACTGCTTCGGAGAGAATGCTGCCTTTTAGTCATTTTAATACCCATTTACACTAAATAGGAAATAATATTTACCTACAAATATGTCAAACGCCTTTATTTATTTTTCCAGTACATAAAAAAAATGTTTTATAATTTAATTTGTCGCAGGAAAAAAGTTAATATTTCTGTCATCCTTATAACTGATTGTAGCAGCCTAGCGAAAATTCACTGCTGATCAGTGTGGGGGAAACCATGTCGGAAAATCCCTATGTACTTCCTCAGCCAATTTGCTCCTTAAACATACATTATGTAAGAGCTAAATCAGCCTATTGCAGGTCTTTCTTTAGGCCTGAAATGTTTTCTAAATTATTAATTAAACATAAACTAACTTATCCAGACCATAATCAACTCTCGATGGCATCAGATTTCTCCGATATTGGGGAGCCACGGTGGCTAGTTGGTTAAGGCGCTGGCTCGCTAGCCTGGAGGTTGGGGGTTCGATCCCTGCATTGGCCGAGAAAGTTCATCCCAATTTTCCGACGTGGTTTCCCCTTGTCAGTGGTGCAGAATGGAGGGTCTGACAAGGACAGCTGTCTTGTCCTTCGGATGAGACGAAAAACCGAGGTCCCGTGTATACATTGGAATGCACGTAAAAGATCCCTTGGCAGTTGGAATTCGATATAAGAGTAGGCGATAGTGCCGCTGCCCGGGCAAAATTTCCCTCATAGCACACTGTGTATGGCGTATGCCCGTCTTCATTAGCCCAGCATAGGAGCAGAACAGTAAGACGTTAAACCCCATTTCATTTCATTTCATTTCTCCGATATTATATATGTTAGAACAGTTCAGCCATATTTTCATTTAAGCTACAAATGGAGGATTGGTTGAAATTATTGCACACGTCTTATCAAACCTTCAAAGGCTAATATCTGTTTGCAACAGATTATTCATTTTCAAACCTTCAAAGGTTAATATCTTCATTCGCAATAGAGTAATTTGAATGAAATTTTCAAATTATTCATTTTATATTATCTATTTTCAAACTATTATAGCAAGAATGGCTAGTTCTTTATCTGAATCTTTCATAATGTATCTTTAAAAATTAAATTAAATGGGGTTTAACGTCCTACTGTTCTGCACCTATACTGGGCTAACGATGACGGGCATACACCATACAGTATGCTATGAGGGAAAATTAGCCTGGGCAGCGGCACTATCAACTACTCTTATATCGAATTCTAACTGCCAAGGGGTCTTTTACGTGCATTCAAATGTATACACAGGACCTCAGTTTTTCGTTTCCTCCGAAGGACTAGACAGCTGTCCTTGTCAGGCCCTCCGGTCTGCTCCACTGACAAGGGGAAACCATGTAGGAAAATACCGATGAACTTTCTCGGCCAATGCAGGGATCGAACATCCGACCTCCAGGCTAGTGAGCCAGTGTCTTACCCACCTAGCCACCGTGGCTCCCCATAAAGAAAGTAGTGTTGACAGTTGTTTCGTACTGCTAAAAATCTATCGTAGAATTCTCCTAATGTAAAAGATGACTGCTTTTAACTTATGATGTCACATCACGCGGCATCAATCATTGGGACAAATGTGTATCTAAAAGTCAACAAAATGACATTTCTTATTGACTAATTTGAAACATCCAGGTATGCTGATATCACATCAATCATTGGCTCAATGGTGCGTGCATTGTTTACATAAGACCTTACTGATTCGGGCATAATGGAGTCTTTTACTCATTTTAATACTCATTTACACTAAACAGGAAATAATTTTTACCTACAAATAAGTCATACGTCTTTATTTTTTTTTCTAATACATTAAAAAAAATGTTTTTGAATTTAATATGTCGGAGGAAAAAAGTTAATATTTCTGGCTCATTAAGTCGCATCGATGTCATCCTTATCAGTGAATGTCGCGGCCTAGCAAATATTCACTGATGATCAGTATGACAATTATCTCTGGTGATGCTGGAAATAAGGCTAGATCTATTATCGGGTGGTTATGGCAAATTTGGTACAAATGGAAATTATAGACGCCCAGACTTACTAGGAAAAATTGGATGGTTTTGGAAACATAGAGGCGTGTCAACATACAAAAGTGGTTGACAGAAAATAATTAGGAATTTACCGAGGCCAATATGTATGGTAAATGGACAGTAAGTAATGTTAAATACATTCTGAAAAATGGATCCTTCCTCAGTGAAATTAGGTGACAACCATGGCTTCTGACAACAGTTTATTTATAGCTTGATGTATCTCCCCTGACAACAGTTTATTTATAGCTTGAGGTATCTCCCCAGTTTATTTATAGCTTGAGGTATCTCCCCAGTTTATTTATAGCTTGAGGTATCTCCCCAGTTTGTTTATAGCTTGAGGTATCTCCCCTGATAACAGTTTATTTATAGCTTGAGGTATCTCCCCTGACAACAGTTTATTTATAGCTTGAGGTATCTCCCCAGTTTATTTATAGCTTGAGGTATCTCCCCAGGAATACAATGATTTAGATGTAAATAGAGATAGAGATGATAATAATAATAATAATAATGACTGTATGACTACTACAATGAGCAAATGGTTTTTCCTCAAGTATGAATTCTCATATGAATCTGTAGAGTACGATTTTCAGCAAATGATTTACTACAAACATCACATTTATATGGCTTCTGTCCACTATGAATTTTTATGTGCTTGTGTAGGTTTCCATGTTGTGTGAATGATATACCACAAACATCACATTGATAGGGTTTATATCCTGTATGAGTTCTGATGTGTGACTGTAGGGTACTACTATGACTAAATGATCTACTACAAAGATCACATATAAAAGGTTTTTCACCAGTATGAATTCTCATGTGGGACCTTAAACTAGCGCGATAAGTAAATGATTTACTACAAACATCACATTCATATAGTTTTTCACTAGTATGGGTGTTCATGTGAGTTTGTAGGGTTCCACATGATTTACTACAAATATCGCATGAAAAAGGTTTTTCTTCTGTAGGAATTCTTATGCGTCTCTGTAAAGTATGTCTTTCAGTAAATGATTTTCCACAAACATCACATGTAAAAGTTTTTTTTCCTGTATGAATTCTTATAAATGTGTCTCTGTAAAGTACGTCTTTCAGTGAATGATTTACTACAAACATCACATTTATAACGCTTTTCGCCTGTATGAATTCTCATGTGTTTCCGTAGAGTACATATTTCAGTGAATGATTTACCACAAACATCACATGTATACGGTTTTTCACCGGTATGAATTCTCATGTGCCTCTGTAGACTTGATTTCCTATTAAATGATTTACTGCAAACTTCACATTTATATGGTATTTCTCCAGAATGAATTCTTTTGTGCTCCTGTAGAAGACTATATTCAGAAAATGATTTACTACAAACATCACATTTATAAGGTTTTTGTATAGTATGAGTTTTCATGTGCTTGTGTAGGTTTCCATGTTGTCTGAATGATTTATCACAAACATCACATTTATATGGCTTCTCGCCAGTATGAATTCTCATGTGTCTCTGTAGGTTTCCAGGCAGTGTGAATGATTTACTACAAACATCACACTTATAAGGTTTTTCACCTGTATGCGTTCTGGAATGTAAACATAGACTACTACTAGAAGCGAAGGATTTACTACAAACATCACACTGATAAGGTTTTTCACCACTATGAGTTCTTCCGTGATTCCGTAGAGTACCTCTTTTAGTAAATGATTTATTACAAACATCACATCTATAAGGTTTTTCACCACTATGAATTCTCATGTGTTGCCGTAGGCTACTAGTCTGTGTGAATGATTTACTACAAACATCACATTCATATGGTTTTTCACCAGTATGACTTCTCCTATGAAACTGTAGACTATTACTATAAGCAAATGATTTAGTACAAACATCACACTGATAAGGTTTTTCATGACTATGAGTTTTTGTGTGCTTTCGTAGAGTACCTCTTTCAGTAAATGATTTATTACAAACATCACATTTATAAAGTTTTTCGCCTGTATGACTTCTCATATGAAACTGTAGACTATTACTATAAGCAAATGATTTACTACAAACTTCACAATGATAAGGTTTTTCACCAGAATGAATTTTAATGTGTTTCTGTAGATAACCTCTTACAGCAAATGATTTACTACAAACATCACACTGATAAGGTTTTTCACTACTATGAGTTTTTGTGTGCCTCCGTAGAGTATCTCTTTCAGTGAATGATTTACTACAAACATCACATTTATATGGCTTGTCACCCGTATGTTTTCTTGTGTGACGCTGTTGATCTGAACGTCTAGAAAATGATTTTCCACAAACATCACATTCATAAGGTTTATCTCCACTATGACTTCTAATGTGTTGTTGTAGAGAGCTATTATCGTAAAATGATTTATCGCAAACATCGCATTTACAAGGTTTTTTTCCAGTATGTTTTCTTGTGTGACGCTGTTGATCTGAACATCTAGAAAATGATTTTCCACAAACATCACATTCATAAGGTTTATCTTCAGCATGACCCCTAATGTGTTGTTGTAGAGTGCTATCATTGTAAAATGGGATGACTGATTTACTACAAACATCCCTACATGCTTTCAACTCACTAGAACTGAACTCTAATTTATGATGTACTTCACAATGTTTCTCTAAATCAATGTCGGATTTAAATTCCTCATCACATAAATTACACTGATGAACTGGTTCAATATCTTCAGTTTTCACTTCTTCATCAAGACATTCATCTACTTCATCAGTTTTCTCTTCTTTAACATGACAATATTCATCTACATCATCTGTTTTCTCTTCTTTAACATAAAAATATTCATCTACATCTTCAGTTTCCTCTTCTTTAAAATAAACATGACAATATTCATCTACATCATCAGTTTTCTCATCTTTAACATGACAATATTCATCTACATTACAGTTTCCCTTTTCCACATTTACTTTATTTTGCTGTTCTAAATCACCAATCGTATAAAATGTTTTAACATCATTAGTTTCCTGTAATATATAAAAGTTATAACATCATTAGTTTCCTGTAATATATAAAAGTTATAATATCATTAGTTTCCTGTAATATATAAAAGTTATAATATCATTAGTTTCCTGTAATATATAAAAGTTATAACATCATTAGTTTCCTGTAATAAATAAATGTTTTAACATCATTAGTTTCCTGTAATATATAAAAGTTATAACATCATTAGTTTCCTGTAATATATAAAAGTTATAACATCATTAGTTTCCTGTAATATAAAAAAGTTATAACAGCATTAGTTTCCTGTAATATATAAAAGTTATAACACCATTAGTTCCATGTAATATATAAAGTTATAATATCATTAGTTTCCTGTAATATATAAAAGTTATAACATCATTAATCTCCTTTAATATCTAACAGTTATAATATCATTAGTTTACTGTAATATATAAAAGTTATAACATCATAAGTTTCCTGTAATATATAAAAGTTATAACATCATTAGTCTCCTTTAATATTTAACAGTTATAATATCATTAGTTTACTGTAATATATAAAAGTTATAACATCATTAGTTCCCTGTAATATATAAAGTTATAAAATCATTAGTTTCCTGTAATATATAAAAGTTATAACATCATTAGTTTCCTGTAATATATAAAAGTTGTACACTGATGAAATGCTATAACACCATTAGTTTCCTGTAATATATAAAAGTTCTAACATCATTACGGTAGTTTCCTTTAATATATAAAAGTTATAGCATGATTAGTTTCCTGTAATATATAAAAATTATAACATCATTAGTTTGCTGTAATATATAAAGTTATAACATCATTAGTTTGCTGTAATATATAAAAGTTATAACATCATTAGTTTCCTGTAATATATAAAAGTTATAACATCATTAGTTTCCTTTAATATATAAAAGTTATAACATCATTAGTCTCCTTTAATATTTAACAGTTATAATATCATTAGTTTACTGTAATATATAAAAGTTATAACATCATTAGTTTCCTGTAATATATAAAAGTTATAAAATCATTAGTTTTCTGTAAATATTGAGAAGCGGTGGCCTTTTGGTACTATTTCAGTGTTAGGCGGCTAGTGCAGTGGGTCGGTTACCGTCTTAGTGTCCTGTTATTCGAGTCTAAATGGTAAACAAAGCAAATGGCGTCAAACGTATGAAGTTCTCTCTCGTTAGAAATTAAAAGGTCGGTAAAATAAAAAGTTATCGATCGATTGGGCTGAAATTTGGTGTGTGGTCATTGCTAGTCCCCCTTAACATCCTCTGAAAATTTCGAGTGCCTACGACCACGGGAACTGGTAGAGGTACAAAAGTGTTCATCGGACCTAGCCATGACCTCACACCAAATTTCAGCCGAATCGGTCAATAACTTTTTATTTTACCGTAGTTTAGCTTATAACGAGAGAAAGTTTATCCGATTTTGATGCCATTTTGTTTGTTGGTTATTTAGACACAAATAATAACAAGACACTAAGACGGGTTCCGACATGACACACATAAGGCGAACGCTAGATCGGAGACGGTCCTGCCCATTTTATGACGTCTTATGTGGATTAAGGGTTAGGGTAAGGGTTAGGCTTGGCCCAGGGTTAAGGTTAAGGCTAAGGCTATCCCTGTCTACATCTTGAGACCATGACGAAATCTACAGGTCCTAGCCCTTACCCTAACCCACAATCCACATATGACGTCATTCCAGCCTAAATAGTCAACAAACAAAATGGCGTCAAAATCGGATAAACTTATCTCTATATAGAAGCTAAACTACGGTAAAATAAAAAGTTATAGCCGATTCGGCTGAAATTTGGTGTGAGGTCATGGCTCAGGCATCGATATTTCCGCGCACATGCGCACGGTGAGCGCAGGCACATTTGCTTTAAAAAAAATTTTTGCAGGCACATTTTTAAAGATGTAGCCACGCCGGGCAGCGCCTGCGCCCGGCACTATTTTTTGCCGACCAGCACAAAGAAAAAATCGAAATTTACCACGGCAATTAAACGGCAAAGCCATGGTAAAAGCCGACGTACGCAAACCATGTCTGTCACGGCATAATTTATTTTTGTGTGCCGTAGTAGACCCTATCATCCCAAATTAGTTTAAAGAAAGATGTATTGGTATTTTGTTTATTTATACTTAGAAGATGTGTAGGCCTAGGTATATTCATTTTACAATTATTCTACGGTCTTTATATTTGTTTATTTGCCGTAAATAGGTCACCCAGACAAATTTACGGCACTCCAATGTTACAGGTTTGAATGTCGTAATTGTCCAACATTTGCCTGCAAATTTTCATGATGTTTCTTATTTTATTTCTTACCTGTGTTGACCGTGGATTTGCTACGGCCCGAGAGTAAGACTAGGAGGACGATGAGAGCTTTCTCAGTTTCTGCCTGACCTGATTCTCATTCCACCGTAATAATAATAATATTCGTGAGACACGTACAACACGTAATATTTGAAAAAAAAACCCCAACAAAACAACAAATACCGAAAGGTCCTCAACTATCCAGAGAAACAGAGTGGGGCGAACAATTTTATGCTCGGTTGGGTGGTGTCAAAAAGTTTTTAGATCCCTGTATCATTGATGAAAATTAAGTGAATTTGGTAAAATTTGAATATATAAATGGAAATTTGATTTGCACTGAACAAAATACAAAAGGCAGCAGATGCTCTAAAAATACACCAAGAAGGGTTTAATTTTCATAAAAGACCACGTCCCCCTCCCAAAACATTTTTTGCCTCGCCCCGCTCGCCAGATATATTTATACACCACTCACCAAATCATGGCTATATCCCTGTGTTTCAGTATGACCCTGCAGGCACATTTTCAAGTGTGTGCGAGGCACACTCAACTTTTATAGAGCCCTGGCTAGTCCCTGTGAACACCCCCTGAAAATTTCAAATCTCTACGATCACAGGAACTGGTAGAGGTCCTTACTGAAATAGTATGTTACTGAAATAGTACCGGCCTTTTTTCATAATTTTTGTTGTAATCATAAAATTTAAGACAAAATAAACATTTTACCATTGGTACATGAATCGTGTAGGCCTACCATAATGCGTTTCAGTGCCATTTGCAACGGGTGCCAGTGAAGTCGTCCACAAGCAAAGTCTTCCACAGTGAAGTCGTCCACACCCATTGGTGGAGTCGTCCACAAGGCATTGGTGATGTCGTCCACAACTATTGGTGATGTCGTCCACAACTAAGAATAAGACTCGTACACAATTTACTCGTACTCAACTATTGGTGATGTCGTCCACAACTAAGAATAAGACTCGTACACAATTTACTCGTACTCAAAACGCCGATGTTATTGTTGGATTATTGTATGATCTTTCTTTTCATGTTAGATTGGCATTATGATTTTAGTTGGGTATTTTTGTTAGTTTGTTGTTCACCGATGTTTTTGCAATGAAGTATACTTGTATTGTTTGTTAATTGGCGTTATGATAGTAGTTCCGAAAGTCGTGTGGAGAAAGGGTGACCACGCAGAAAAACTATACTAATTAAAAATACATTATGTGTCCCAAAAGTCGTGTGGACGACTCCACCAACGTATTACTATATCCAGAAATTTTACTAAGTCGTGTGGACGACTCCACCAACGGGTGTGGACGACTTAACCAGATTTTTCGTGTGGACGACTTTGCTTGTGGACGACTTGACTGGCATTCTTTGTAACAAGGTGCTCAAAGAATGAGGCTAGACATATTCCACAAGTCATGTCAAACTGTGATATCATATTCTTATTTGGAAAGCATGCGCAATAAATAATATCGGTGTTGACTGGAATAACCATACGCTAGAAACTGACTTGCGGTTGAGACTTCTGGCGTATTTCGCCGAACATAACTGATGACAATTCACAGTAAAACGGACATGATTGAATGTAAAACAGTTTATATAAATTCATATTACATTATTATATGTGTTGCGACCCATTTGTGCCAATTTCTAGGTCCAAAATATTAGCGATTTAGCTTCTTTAACGTTACAAGTTTTGTAACTAATTAAAATTGACTGGGAAGCCATTGGAATTTCGACAAGGATTCAATAGGAGAGTTCCTGAATGTAGAGGCCGAGTGTAATGAGACCTACGTTCAGAGCTGAACTAAGTTAAATGTAGATAACAAACCTTACTTAATCTCTCAACCCTCCGTTATGAGTTAAGAACTGAGGCCATGACCTATAACGTTGCAGCTGCGGGAGCGATTCACACCTGGCATTTTTAAACAAAGTTGACAATAGTTTTAATCAAAACAACGATTGATTATTGTTATTTATAATATTTCTACAACACCCAAATAATACAATTAAGCATATAATCCTACCTGAAACGGGTACAAATCGTCGTTTTTATAAGGCTTTTATAACAGCCATTCAAAAGGACAATCGAAAGCACAGTAACTATGAATGGATTTTGATGGCGGTGAAATGTCAGACAAAAACAACGCTTCATTAATTTAAACGCGAATATTTGGAGTTAGGCGACAGTTGTGTCACTACATTGGCCTCTGTAAGTTTAATTAATCATAATATCATAAACTTATCTATTTTAAAGATGTTACATGCATTAATAAAGAAATTGAGTTTGCCACTTGGAACTAAAGGCATCCAATCGTAGCTAAAAACAATTCAGTATATCTCAACGTTTTTAGCTACGTTCTCGTAGCTAAGTTAAATGGTGATATCTCTGGACACCTTGGAGTAGATTACACTTTAAAAAAGTAATTTCATACAATAAAATCGTATCTTACCATGTCGATTATTTACTTCTGTGTCACTGATTCACGACAAAACAACATAAACAGTTAATCTAAAATCACTTCCGGTGTATCTTATTTGAAGGTTGTATTATTATTATAGACACGGATCAACCCAACACGAATAATTCTAGCTACGAGAACGTAGCTAAAAACGTTTAGATATACTGATGTGTTTCTTTTTAGTTACGATTGGATGCCTTTAGTTCCAAGTGGCAAACTCAATTTCTTTATTAATGCTTGTAACATCTTTAAAACAAGATGATTTTATGCTATCATGATTATGTTGTGAATGTCACGTGATTGCTTGTTGATATCACGTGACTACGTGAATTAATCACTTTAACTACGAATATTTCAAGGTACGGTTGCTAACCAAGCTAACAAGTTGTCGGTAGGACGACTATTATTTAAATATAGTCTTCTATATAGTAGTACTTATATACATTGGGAGCGCTCGGAAGAAATATATTATGGTCATTTCCATTTATTAATTTGTCTATTTATAATTCAAAATGAAATGAAATGGGGTTTAACGTCCTACTGTTCTGCTCCTATACTGGGCTAATGAAGACGGGCATACGCCATACAGTGTGCTATGAGGGAAATTTTGCCCGGGCAGCGGCACTATCGCCTACTCTTATATCGAATTCCAACTGCCAAGGATCTTTTACGTGCATTCCAATGTTTACACGGGACCTCGGTTTTTCGTCTCATCCGAAGGACTAGACAGCTGTCGTTGTCGCCATAATTCAAGAATTTACGGTCCGATATGCGTGAATATCAAAAGTAACCAAGATCTTTGGGTTATAAACTTACATTTTGAATTTCAACAAAATCAGATAAAAATTGTGACCTCTATAGGGTCCACAAGCTAAAAACACAATTTTTCGTACAATCAGGGGCCATTTTCCATGAAGTTTCGGCCCGATACAGTTTATTTATAGCTTGAGGTATCCCCCAAAGAATACAAAGATTAAGATGTAAATGGAGAGACTTTAAGGATAAAAGGAATGAAATAAGTATTTTGAGACTAACATACAGCTTGTTTTAAGGGCCAAGGGGTGTGGTTTCAATCCCTAACTTTTACCTGACAAGGAGTAGGGTCTACTGCCCATCAAACCAATTACACCAATAATGGTTCATAAACAAGCCTGGAAAAAACAGTTTTAGATGTACCTGACAAAATGTCAGACACTAATGAAATAGTACCTGACATTTTCAACTTAGTGCCAGACATGTATTAATAATATCAATAGAAAAGACAAATCAGTGCCAGACAAAATAACAGGCACCAGAGGTTTTGTGCCTAACATTGTCAGTGACAGGTGCCTTATTTCCAGGCTTGTTCATAAACATATATATATATATATATATATATCTTTATATTTCATGTGATTACAGGTTCATATATATCTTTATTTCATGTGATTACAGGTTCATATATATCTTTATTTCATGCGATTACAGGTTCATATATATCTATATTTCATGTGATTACAGGTTCATATATATCTTTATTTCATGTGATTACAGGTTCATATACATCTATATTTCATCCGATTACAGGTTCATATATATCTATATTTCATGTGATTACAGGTTCATATATATCTTTATTTCATGCGATTACAGGTTCATATATATATATATATTTCATGTGATTACATATCTATTCCTTAAAGCGATAATTTCATATTTTCTGAGAAAGTCAAAACATAATTATTTCTGTGTCTTTTGCTCAATAGGTTGTCAACTCACTATTATACGATTATAGGTATTATTCTCCATCTTAAAAATCCTTTGACCCCGGAAATAATAACACAATTACCTCCCTTGTTTTTCTATTCCCCCCATGGAATAGCTATCTTCAAACGTTTGAATTTAAAGTTGAAAATTATATTTTTGCCAATTTCTCAACTGGCAATAGTGAATTATAGGATTAATAGGATTATTCTTTAACAAAAATGAAATGAAATGGAGTTTAACGTCCTACTGTTCTGCTCCTAACCTGGGCTAATGAAGACGGGCATATGCCATACAGTGTGCTATGAGGGAAATTTTGCCCTGACAGCGGCACTACGACCTACTCTTATATCGAATTCCAACTGCCAAGGGATCTTTTACGTGCACGCCAATGTGTACACGGGACCTCGGTTTTTCGTCCCATCCGAACGACTAGACAGCTTTCCTTGTCAGCCCCTCCGTCCTGCATCACTGACAAGGGAGTACCACGCCGGAAAATCGGGATGAACTTGCAGCTTTAATATGTAAATGATCTTAATTAAATCAACCTGTCCGTAATATCATTTACTATTGGTCGTTTAGAGTTGGTCATGATAAATTCTCGGAAACGTTCCAGGCCGCGTTAATCTCATTAAAACACAGATCCTATTACATTTCGTTTTTAATAATTCAAAATTGCGTTTTCCTTGTCTAGAAGAGTTGTTATATAACCCGCATTCTGGTTGATGTGAGGAATAAGGTATGTAACAGTCTGTTACGGTGAGTTCTTAGCGTGTGATGCACGGTCTTGTGGGTAGACCACTAGAAACGTCAACACTGATTGATTAATTAATCCGTTAACTGCGTAGGGCGTTATATAATGTCCCAGACAACTGCCACTTACCGTGTGTAGGACGTAATATAACGTCCTGGAGGTATTTTCCCCAACCTATTCTTCGAACACGATCGCAGCATGTTTAAGACGTTATATTACGCCTGGTCGAGGAAATCTAATTGAAGGAAGACAACTCTATTTACCGTTAGTTTTAATTTGGTTTCAGACTACCAAATTTTGTATTCAGGAACGAAAAGGTCCAAAATGACGTTTATCGTCAAATTAATTACGCAATAGGGGGTAGTTAACGTTTTGAAAACTACGCAGTTAAGGGGTTAATGTCTTATGTCATAGGGTCAAAAACCACTCGTATGACCCCTGACGTGACCTTCTACTATAACTTGTCAGGTCTTCATATAATGTAGGCCATTGAAAGTATAAAAAACGAAACGAAATATAGATCTGTATCTTATTCAGATTGAGGTCACAGTCTAGGGTTCTTGTACGTGTGGGGGTGGGGAGAGTGGATGGATGGCCGAATGGTTAGCAAGTATGCACTGTATCATAAGGCCTGTCACTGAGTCAACCGGTGTGGTTTTGAATTCCCGGTTGTATGTGACAAGAAATAGGGACGCCTGTCCGCCCTTGTGGGTTTTCACCAGGTCCTCTGGTTTCCTCCCACTGCTAAAGACCCCTAAGCGCAAGAGAATTATTGGTATAAAATTAAACCATATGTTTCTCTCTCTCTTGTATGTGTATGCCAATGTTTTTCATGACCTACTAGATACAATTCCTTGCAAGACTCTCCGTCCTTCACCACTGCCTAGTCGTTCGGATGGGACGAAAAACCGAGGTATCATGTACACATTGGCGTGCACGTAAAAGATCCCTTGGCAGTTGGAATTCGATATAAGAGTAGGCCGTAGCGGCGCTGCCCGGGCAAAATTTCCCTCATAGCACACTGTATGGCGTATGCCCGTCTTCAATTAGCCCAGGTTAGGTGCAGAAGAGTAGGACGTTAAACCCCATTTCATTTCATTTCATTTCAACTACTAGATACAATTCCTTGCAAGACTCTCCGTCCTTCACCACTGACATCGAGTCATGTGGTGTGGTTTCGATGAGCAAATGATTTACTATAACTGACACATTTGAAAGGTTTTTTCTCCATGAGTTATCGCATTAAATTGTAGGTTAAAATTCTTAGATATGGTTTTTCTCCTGTATGTAGGGTGACCCATGCACTCTACAGAAATACAGTCCACCGCTGATAGTTCGAGACTACCACTGAAGTGTGCACATTAGCCGTGTCGAGACCAACTTTCTGACAGTATGATACTATAAATAGCCATGGCACGTGCAATTCTCTACAAATCTATCAACTATTACAGCCGTAAAAATTTTATTGTTGACGATTTTGAATAGCAGTAAAATTAAGCTTCTTGGTTATTACAGCAGATTTGGAAATTCCGTTCGTTTTATTTTTTAATTTGCTACATCATTAACTGTACCGTTGAGAGCGGCATCTTTTGGTTTAGTACAAATAATATCTCTGAATCACTTTTGTTAGCAGGAACATGATACTAGCAGTAGTTTCATTTTACTTTTACAAGCTTCTTAAAACAATTGTTGAGCTAGCTAACGTGAATTTTTCTAAATTCAATTTCTTGTTCCAGCTTTCTGTTATGTTTCGTAAAAAGGGCGTCTTGATTATCCCGACCTGTCAATCAGACGTAGAATGGTCGGTACACTGCAACCTATCTTTTACTCAAAAGTGTCTGGATGTTATGGACGAAACTTGGAACCAGTTTCAGTCTATTATTTATAGATCATTAAATGGTCATAGCTTATTAAGTACAACATGATCGTTTATTTAGTGACTATAATTGTGTGAAACTGATTTAAGGCCTGGTATGTATATAAATATTGTGGCGTAATTGTCGAGATATTTGGAGATATTTATTTATGGTGGGTCACCCTACTGTATGAATTCTAAAGTGTCTCTGTAGATTACAATTTCTGATGAATGATTTACTACAAACATCACATTTATAAGGGTTATCTCCTGTGGTGAGAGAGAGAGAAAATGGGGTTTAACGTCCACTCGACACAAACTATGTCATTTCGGGACTAACACATTTTATTTCAATAATTTTGCTTGGGCGTAGGGTTCTTTAGCAGTGGGAGGAAACCGGAGGACCCGGAGAAAATCCACGAGGTTGGACAGGGGACCCTACTCCTTGTCACGTACAAACGGGGAATCGAAACCCCGCCAGTTGACTCAATGACAGACCCTATGATACGGCGCAGCGCGCACATGCTAACCAATCGGCCATCCAACCCCCCTTCTCCTGTGGTTCTGTAGAGTATGTCTTTCAGTGAATGATTTACTACAAACATCACATTTATATGGTATTTCCTCAGAATGAGTTCTTTTGTAGATTACCATATTCAGAAAATGATTTACTACAAACATCACATTTTTAGGGTTTTTCTTCAGTATGAATTTTTATGTGCTTGTTTAGGGTTCCAGACCGTGTGAATAATTTATCACAAACATCACACTGATAAGGTTTTTCACCACTATGGCTTCTAATGTGTGACTGTAGATTACCATTTTCAGTGAATGATTTACTACAAACATCACACTTATAAGGTTTTTCACCCGTATGTTTTCTTGTGTGACGCTGTTGATCTGCACGTCTAGAAAATGATTTTCCACAAACATCACATTCATAAGGTTTATCTCCACTATGACTTCTAATGTGTTGGTGTAGAGCACTAATATTGTAAAATGATTTACCACAAACAATACATATAAAAGGTTTTTCACCAGTATGAATTCTAATATGTTTTTGTAGAGTGTTATTACGGTAAAATGATTTATCACAAACATCACATTTATAAGGTTTTGCCCCAGTATGAACTGTAATGTGTTGCTGTAGAACATCATTTGTGATGATTGATTTACTACAAACATCGCTACATGCTTTCAACTCACTACTATTACAAGAACTGAACTCTAATTTATGATGTACTTCACAGTGTTTCTCTAAATCAGTGTCAGATTTAAATTCTTCATCACATAAATTGCACTGATAAATTGGATCAATATCTTCAGTCATCTCTTCTTTAACATGACAATATTCATCTATATCATCTACATTAACATGTACTTCATTGTGTTTTTCTAAATCAGATTCTGACTTAAATTCTTCTTTACACAAATTATACTGATAGCAAGTTTCAATATCTTCAGTTTTTTCTTCTTCAAAATGACAAAATTCATCTACATTACTTTTTTCTTTTACCTCAATTACTTTATTTTGCGTGTGAAATCTTTTAACATCGCGAGTTTCCTATAATATATAAAAATGTATAACATAATTAGTTTCCTGTAACATATAAAGGACATTAGTCCGCATAAAATTCTGTCGGAAGCTTCGTGCAGAGAATTCTGGTTGAGGAACATTACTTATGAACGATACCTCTAGCTAGTTACCTTGGAGTAAATTGCACTTTTAAGGGATGATTTCATACAATAAAATCTGATCTTACCATGCTGAATATTTACTTTTGTGTCACCGATTCACGGCACGACAAAACAACATCAACAGTTTATCTAATAACTTCCGGTGTATCTTATTTGAAGGTTGTATTATTATTATAGACACGGATCAACCCAACACGAATAATTCATGTTCGTATGCAAAGTCACATGTCTGTATTTTGTTGGCAAAAAAGGTAAAATTATCAACTATTCGCTAATGAAAAATATACTACAGGTCTGTTTTATCCTACTGGTAGGAAATTCTTTACAAATGAGCAGTTACAAGCGGGTAGGACTGACAAGTATGGGACGAACAATGGTCCGGGATTGAAAGCGTTGGTGTTTGGTGGTTTATTGCCTTTGTCCTGCGACTTTGGTCTGAAATATTTTACCTCTCATTCCCGGAGTCGGTCAATTATTAAATCGGAACCTTTATTGACCGTTGTGTTGGATGTGCAATCTCGGTCACAAAACCCTACTCACATGAGGGCAGTTTTGAGTTCATGTGGCCGATTGTGCTTTCCCCCCACTAGGGAGAGAGAGAGATGGGGTTTAACATCCACTCAATACAGACTCGGTCATTTAGGGACTAACATATGGTTTAATTTTATTTCAATAATTCGGTTGCTCATAGGGATGTTTAGCAGAGGGAGGAAACCCATGAGGTTGGACAGGCAACACTACTCCTCGTCACGCACAACCGGGATTCGAAACCACGCCAGTTGACTCAATGACAGGCCTTATGATACAGCGCGTACATGCTCACCATTTAGCCATACACCCCCCCCCCCCAAGACCCCTAGGTGCAAGCGAATTATTGAAATAAAATTGAACCATATGTTAGTCTCGAAATGACCTAGTATGTGTTGACTGCCAGCTTATTGTGTGCTAGCTTGACTGACGGAGTGGGTGTTATTTCTTGATCAAATGGTTAGGCGGTTTTGGGAACATTGAGGTGTGTCAGCGTACAAAAGACTCTGCAATTAAACAGCGGAAAAAGGAGTTGACAGAAAATAATTAAGAATTTAATTAGGCCTCAATATGTATGATAAATGGACAGTAACCCTATTTAAAAATACATTCTGAAAATGGATCCTCCCTCAGTGAAAACAGTTTATTTATAGCTTGAGGTATTTCCAGTGACAACAGTTTATTTATAGCTTGAAGTATCTCCCCTGACAACAGTTTATTTATAGCTTGAGGTATCTCCCTACGGGTTTCACCAGGTCCTTCAGATGCTACTAATACTGTCGTCATAGTCTACAGTCGAACCAATTACAGGAATAATAATGGTTCATCTATACATATCTTTATTTCTTTTGATTACAAATTCATATATACCTTATGTCATGTGGGTAAGATGTGGCTAACGAGCCAGCTTCTTTTATTATTTTTTTCTTCTAGATATATTTATTGACACAATATACAAAATACATAATTCTATTTTCATTCTACAAGAATAATTTCACAGGATATTTACAGTTTAAAAGTTGTATATAAAAATATATACAGCACATTACCCACTTAGTCACCTTGGCCTCCTCATCGTTCCTAGAACGCTAGAAATTTAAAACCTAAACAGGACTAAAGTACTGAATGTGAAATTTGTAATAAACAACATCTTTCAACTCGTGTTGACCAAAATATATTCACATATTTGTATCATTTGCTTGATAAAGACGAGTGTATCCTCGTCCAAACGTCGCATAGTATCAAACTCAGTAATTGTGTATCCATAAAATCGTACCTTGTGTTGACCAAAATACTCTCATTTTAAATGTTTAACAGGGCCATTCAAACTACTAGAGGCTTTCCGTCCTTCACCACTGACATGGAGAAACTACCACGGAAAATCCTAAGGAACTATCTCAACGACAGTACTATATACCGGAAAACACCGAAAAACAACTGGAAAACACTGGAAAACACCATGTTATACTGAATTCCGGAAAACACCGGAAAAACACTAAATACCGGAAACACACTAAATGCCGGAAAACCTCCTAAATAGGTAACCCAGAGCCTGGTCCTCTGTTTGCGGGGAGTTAGGGTTAGGGTTAGGTTTTTTCAGTCTTTTCCAGAGGACCTGCGGTGGGTTAGGGTTAGGTTTTTCCGATGTTTTCCAGAGGATCAGTGGTGGATTCGGGTTAGGTTTAAGAATTTGGGGGAGAGGTTAAGTCTCCACATAAGCACTGACCTAGGATGATGAAAAATTAGTTCGTGATATTTCCTAGTTTTATTAAAAATACATACAATACATTAGATTTATATACAAAGGCGATTTCACTGTTTATTGGTGTTGGTGGCGCTGATGGTCTTCCTTGGGTGGTGCTTCTGGTATTATTGTTTCTGAAGAAAAAAGAAAATAAATTTGAGGCTCTCGGGAGTGAGCCACATTAGTGTGTTTCTTACTACGGATTGGATTTTCTAAAAAATCATGTTTGTTCCACGTCACCGGGTTAGGGCTAGGGATTCTTATATCTTATTGATTTTATTTACTAACGGTTAGGGATAGGATTTGATATATGGTTTGTTTTGGGTCAGGGTGGAGACTGGTCTTATTTAATCTAATTTACTGTGCACTAGGATGTCGTTCAGATTTTTATTTTTAGAATGTGTAATTATAAGTTTCTGTGTGAATATTTTCGGGTAATTTTCTTGGAGATCAGTATAGTGTTTTCTGATGATTTTGGATGCACTTGCTGCTTTTGCGCTAAATGAAACTACAAAAGGAGCTATTGCGCTAGCCGTATGAATATTCAAACCTAGGGGGGCTGTTGTTTTCAATTTGTCAATCCAGAATTTTTCTCTAGTTAGCCTAAACGTTTTAATTTCTTCTGAAGTTTCAAAGTCGCTCTTGGTCTTTTCTATTGGCGTGACAATGAGATCAGAAATGTCATGATTCGGTTGGTTGAAATGAATTGAGACAGGTTTGTCTTTTTTGGTGACTATGTCTGACCGGTGACCGTTAATTCTTTCCCTAAGTGCATTTTGAGTCTCCCCTACGTATTGCTTGTCACATTTTCTGCATGAAATTAGATAAATTATGTTTGAACTACTGCATGAAAGTTGGTCTAATATTGGGAATTTTGTGCCAGATGTTTTGTTATGGAAATGGTCGGATTTTGCATGTTTGACATCTTGGTTTTGACTGCTGATTGTATATTATTTGTTTCTTTGGCGGCAAGCTCAGCGAGAGTGTTGTTTTTTATACGTCGTAGATAGCGTTTGGAGTATCCCCTTTCCCTTAGTTTGTTAAATACCAATGTACATGCTGATTCAAAGTCGGTCTTCTGAGTACATATCCTATGAAAACGGAGAATCTGAGATTTTATGATGCCAGAGAATGTATGTTTTGGGTGAAAGGAGCTGTTGAACAATAATTGATGTGTGTCGGTTTCTTTGAAAAATACTTTAGTTTCCAATTGGCCTGTGATTTTGGTGTTGCTACTTTTAAACACGGTAGTATCAAGGAAATCTATGCTGTTATGGCTTACATTTGCGGTTAATTTGACAGATGGATGATGATTGTTCAGAATGTTGAAAAACGTCCAAAATTCGTCTAGTGTGTACGTCCAGACTATGAAAACGTCATCTAAAAACCGCCCATAGAAATCTGGTTTTAATGGACAGAGTGGCAGAACTTCCCTTTCCCACTCCGCCATGAAGAGATTTGCATAACTCGGGGCAAATCGTTTTCCCATCGCAGTTCCGGAAGACTGAAGGTATACTTGGTCGTTAAAAGCGAAGTCATTACTCCTCAGACAAATGTCGAGTAGTTTGAGGATTTCTTCGTCCGGCCTGGATGCCTGCGAGTTCCTAAGAAATGCTTTCCTAACTGCTTCAATACCTGTGTTATTATCAATGTTCGTGTACATGCTTTGTACGTCGATGGATATTAAAATGGTGTGTTCGGGGACTCTTAACTGTTTGATTTTCTGAATGAAATCGTTAGTGTCTTTAAGGTAGGATGGGTGTTGGCATGCTAGTGGTAATAAGAAATGGTCTATATATTGTGATACGTTGTATGATTCGCTGCCACAGTCTGATATTATTGGGCGTCCCTTGGGTATTTTATTAGGTATAAACCATTCTGTTTCTGGATTTTTTGGTATTTTTGGTAGTGTATAGAGATGTCTTTGTCGGCAGTCAGATTTAGCAGATAGATAATCATATTGTTTTGCTGTTATGTATTCCTTATCGTGCAATTCATATAAGATGTTGTTTATTAAAGTTGCGGTGTCCTTAAAGATGGGTTGGTCTAATTTAGTGTAATGTATAGGATTACTTATTTGCTTTTCTGCCTCTGAGATATAGTCTGCGCGATTCATTATGACACAACACCAGCCTTTGTCGCTTTTCTTAATTATTATGTTTTTGTCTTTTTTAAGGGCGTTCAATGCCGTTTTAGTTCCTCGGTTGAGATTTGGTTTTTGTGACTGTGGTTGAATGGATGATATTTCTATATTCATTTCGTCGAAAGTTTTTAGGATGGCTGGTGATAATGACTTTTTAGGTGGTTTCCATGTGGATTTTGCTGTGAATAATTTTTTACCTCTGCCGGGTTTGTTCCTAAAAAAATAAGTCAACGAAAGTGTTCTTTGGAAGCGATCGGTTGCCTGGGTGATGGGGTCTATGGATGTTATTGTGGGGGTTGGGATGAATTTAAGGCCTTTATCAAGAATGTTCATTTCTAGGGGGTTGAGAAGTCTGTCGCTCAAATTGACAACTGTCTGTCCTAAAGACGGCTTCTCATTCCTTTTCCCTAATCCTAGTTTAAATTCCTCATCCAGCAGTTGATGATCTCTCTGGCCGTGTCTGGGCTCCAGTGGATTGCGTCGTTACCTTTCAGTTCTATTTTGCCCTTGAAGGTTGGTAATGTGGTGGCGTTTGGTGAAGGTGCAGTGGAGATCAGTTGGTTGTAGCTGGTGATGTTTTGGTAGGCGATCGGATTTTCTTGTCGGAGTCGGGAAGAAGTGGGGATCTGTGTGGCGAAGAGCTTGGTTGTTGGGAAAGCTGCTCTGGTCATCTTGAGTAGATCTAGCATCTGCTCGTGTATCCTTGGTCCACTTTCCTCCCTGTTGTTGAGCCCGACGTGTACCACTAATTCTTCTGGTGCAGGACCCATGTAGTTCTGGAGTATCTGTTTGATGTGGCTGATCTTGGCTCCAGAATAGCTATGGATCTCCCAGTCCCCGAGGAAGGATGCAATCCTAGCCAGGTTAGAGGACCCAATAACCAGGGTCTTTGCCATGACGGGTGGTAGGAACCATAAATCCTTCTCGTCTTTACCTTTGTAGTTGTGAGGTCTCTTTAGGGATAGGTTGAGTGATCGCCTACATCTGGCGGAAGATCTGGTGGCGATTCTAGGGTTAGGAATGATGGGCGATCTAGGGGACAGACAGTCGACAAGCGCATTTAGTGGCGATATAGATCCCGAGGAAGTAGGTGAACCAGACACAACCCGGGGCGAACTGGTTGATCTAGCTGCACGCTTCGAGAGAGTGTTAATGCAAGTGCCTTCTCCAGGGGATAATTTTCTCTTGTTGGGTGTGTATCGTTTTGGTGTGTCCCGGAGAAGGTTGTGTGTAATGTGCATGGGTGATGGGGGAGGAGCGTGACAGTTTTAGAGACCGTGGACAGTAGGCGGTGGAAATCTGTCTTCACACTATCCTGAAGTCGCTTGCCGTAGGACTTCTTGGTCCATGCTAGGGCGTGGCTAGAGTACTCTTGCACAGCATCTTTGGTAAAGTGACGTGACTTCAAGTACTCCAGTTTCTCCGCTAGCATGGCTCGGTAGTGTGTCGACAGGGATGAGGCGACGTCCTTGGCCCATTTCAAGTTCAATGTTTCAATGATAGTGGCTATGGTAGGCGTCTTCATGGCCGGCTTCACAAACTTATTCAGGTCTTGGATCTTCCAAGTGAAACTTCTGGTTGGTGTTCCATTCTCCTGGCTCTCCATACTGGTCAAGTGGTGGAGACATTGGAGGACCTGAAAGAAGGCTTTCACGACACCTGCATTTTCTTGGGGTTGTTGGCGCTCCTTTGGTAGACGTTGGTTTGGTTGGCGCTCCTTTGGTAGGCCCTGGTTTCGTCGGCGCTGGAATCCCGGTGGTGGTTGGTGGAATCCAGGTGGTGGTTGGTGGAATCCAGGTGGCGGTTGGTGGAACCCAGGTGGTGGTTGGTGGAACCCAGGTGGTGGTTGGTTGAATCCTGGTGGTGGTTGGTAGAAGCCTGGCGGTGGTTGGAATCTATTTCTTAACTGAGGCCAGTCCATTGGTAGATGGTTGGGGAAGGTGTTTGTAATTATGCAAATGGGTGAGACGAGACAATAGAGGGGAACAAAAATTGATGTGTATAGGTTGTGTTCGGATCTGTTCTCTGTAATATATCTGGTGTAATATGTGAATGTAAGGCCTAAATGTAAGTTAAACTAATATATATGCAGTTTTGTTCTATGCCAGATATTCGGCGATGCTAAGAAAAAGAATGTAGAATTAAATGGCGGATTGATTAAGGCTTGTGCTCAAGCGTTCTTTACCAGATATTCGGCGATGCTAAGACAAAGAAATGTGGAATTAAATGGCGGATTGATGTCTATAGGTTGTGCTCGGACCTGTTCTCTGTAATATGTGAATGTAAGACCTAAATGCAAGTTAAACTAATATATATGTAGTTATGTTCTTTGCCAGATATTCGGCGATGCTAAGACAAAGAATGGGGAATTAAATGGCGGATTGATTAAGGCTTGTGCTCAAGCGTTTATAGTAAATTCCCTAAATTGTAACGTGACGGAATGAAATTGGAAGAATAGTAACTGTGAAAATACAATAAATCGTTTGAATTTAAGTGTTTATTGGTTAAATCCCAATAATTCAATTCAAAAAAGAAAAAGAATTTAACAAGTATAACAAAAGCGTGGGTGTTACATAAAATATACAATAAATATACAAAAAGAAAAAAATCTTACATGAAATATAGTAGTGAAGTTCCTCGATTAACTCGCGATGCACATTTCGGAGTGGTATCCTTTATCAAGCGATGATAGTCTAACTTAATTGAAACTTTCTGGCCTATTTGTACCCATCAAAAAGAGATAAGCCAATCAAAATTAATATGGGCAAGCCCTGATTCTAATTAAACACATGAGTGATATGTTTGTGAGTTATTGAGCGGGTGATTAAGTAGCGGCTTTAATTGAAGTGATGAGTAAATTGAACAGATTAAGATGAGTATTCAGTATGGTAGCTCATTGTTTTGATTGGATTTGATCAAAAGATAATGGATGTTTTAATTTTAAATTTCTGCCGTGTTTGCATTGGTGATTGGTCGATCAGTGGAGTGATTACAGTGAAAGGATTTTGAATAATGGAAATTAATGATTTAAATAGGGAATTAAGCGGTTTTTTTTAGCTATTGATGGAACAAATAGGCCAGTCTACTTGGGAGAATCAGTTAAGGCGAGGAAATATTAAGTATGGACATAAATATAGAAACTGCTGAGTTTAAATTTTATGATGCAATTCTAGTCGATGGACTTTTACTAAAGTTGTTAATATTTATATACATTGCTTTAGGAGACTATTTAAATGGCACATATAACATAAAAGATAATATAATATCAAGAAGAACATGCATCATAGGCTAACAAATATTATAATATAAAAATATAAGGCATACATTATGAAATAATAAGAGTAATAGAATTTGTAAAGAACAAAATTATATATACAGACGTGATTTGATTATCTCTATAAGGGAAATATCTTGAACCAGGTTTACATCAGCCTGGCGCGGGTGAGGGTTAGGTTTAAGAAGATCAGTGGTGGGTTAGGGTTAGGTTCTTCCGGTGTTTTCCAGAGGACCAGGCTCTGGGTTAGCTATTTAGGGTGTTTCCCGGTATTTAGTGTGTTTTCCGGTATTTAGTGTTTTTCCGGTGTTTTCCGGTATTCAGTATAACATGGTGTTTTCCGGTTGTTTTTCGGTGTTTTCCGGTATATAGTATAGCCCCTATCCCAAGACAGGAGAATGCTTAGATTACATGGTCTGTCAGAGGTGTAGTTTCGATACTCCACCTGTATGTGTACCTGACAAAGAGTTGAAACACCTGTCCAACCTCTTCAATTTCACTTCAGTATAAGTCCTTACGTGTTTCTGTACATTACTACTACATGGGCAATTGATTTATTACAAACATCACAATTATATGGTTTTTATTAAGTATGAATTTTATGTGCTTGTGTACGCTTCCACTCTTTGTGAATGATAAAGTTTTCCACCAGTATGAATCCCCCTGTGTTTCTGGAGAGCACTGCTGTCGGAAAATGATGTACTACAACCATCGCATTTATATGGCTTTTCACCAGTGTGAATTCGGATATGTCGCTGTAAATTACCTTTCTCCGAGAATGATTTACGACAAACATTACATTTATAAGGCTTCTCACCTGTGTGAGTTTTTGTGTGTTGCCGCAGACCACCTATATGTCGGTATGATTTACAACAAACATCACACTTATAAGGTTTTTCACCTGTATGAATTCTCAGGTGAGTCTGTAGAGTATCTCTTTTAGTAAATGATTTACTACAAACATCACACTTATAAGGTTTTTCACCTGTATGAATTCTCATGTGTTCCTGTAGACGATTACTATAAGAAAATGATTTACTACAAACATCACATTGATAAAGTTTTTCGCCACTATGAGTTTTTGTGTGCTTCTGTAGATAACCACGTTCAGTGAATAATTTACCACAAACATCACATTGATAGGATTTTTTTCCAGAATGAGTTTTAGTGTGCCTTTGTAAAGTATCACTTTCAGTGAATGATTTACTACAAAAATCACATGCAAAGAGTTTTTCTTCAGTATGAATTCTCTGTAGGCCACCAGTTCGTGAGAAGTATTTACTACAAACATCACATTTATAAGGTTTTCCACCAGTATGGCTTCTAATGTGTGACTGTAGATTACCATTTTCAGTGAATGATTTACTACAAACATTACATTTATAAGGTTTTCCACCAGAATGGCTTCTAATGTGTGACTGTAGATTACCATTTTCAGTGAATGATTTACTACAAACATCACATTTATAAGGGTTTTCACCCGTATGTTTTCTTGTGTGACGCTGTTGAACTGCACGTCTAGAAAATGATTTATCACAAACATCACATTTATATAGTTTTGCTCCAGTACAATTCTCTGTGTGTCTCTGTCGAATACAATTTGGGATGACTGATTTACTACAAACATCCTTACATGCTTTCAACTCACTACTGTCACAAGAACTGAACTCTAATTTATGATGTACTTCACAATGTTTCTCTAAATCAATGTCAGATTTAAATTTCTCATCACATAAATTACACTCATGAACTGTTTCAATATCTTTAGTGTTCTCTTCTTTAACATGAGAATATCCACCAACATCATCAGTTTTCTCACCTTTAACATGAGAATATCCATCAACATCATAAGTTTTCTCACCTTTAACATGACAATATCCAGCTATATCATCAGTTTTCTCACCTTTAACATGAGAATATCCAGCTATGTCATCAGTTTTCTCACCTTTAACATGACAATATCCAGCTATATCATCAGTTTTCTCACTTTTAACATGAGAATATCCAGCTATGTCATCAGTTTTCTCACCTTTAACATGAGAATATTCAGCTACATCATCAGTTTTCTCACCTTTAACATGACAATATCCATCTATGTCATCAGTTTTCTCATCTTTAACATGACAATATTCATCTACATCATCAGTTTTCTCTTTTTTAACATGTACTTCACAGTGTTTTTCTAAATCAGATTCTGACTTAAATTCTTCATCACACAAATTATACTGATAGCAAGTTTCAATATCTTCAGTTTTTTCTTCTTCAAAATGACAAAATTCATCTACATTACTTTTTCCTTTTACCTCAACTACTTTATTTTGCGTGTGAAATCTTTTAACATCGCGAGTTTCCTATAATATATGAAATGTATAACATAATTAGTTTCCTGTAACATATAAAGGACATTAGTCTCCTGTAATATAAAAAAGTTATATCATCATTAGTTTCCTGTAATATATAAAAGTTATAACACAATTAGTTTCCTGTAATATATAAAATGTATAACATAATTAGTTTCCTGTTGTACATAAAGGATATAACAACATTAGTCTCCTGTAATATATAAAAGTTATATCATCATTAGTTTTCTGTAATATATAAAAGCTATATCATCATTAGTTTCTTGTGATATATAAAAGATATAACGTCATTAGTTTCCTGTAATATATAAAAGTTATAACATCATTAGTTGCTGTAATATATAAAAGTTATAACATCATTAGTCTCCTGTAATATATAAAAGCTATATCATCATTAGTTTCCTGTAATATATAAAAGTTATAACATCATTAGTTTCTTGTGATATATAAAAGTTATAACATCATTAGTCTCCTGTAATATATAAAAGTTCTAACATCATTAGTTTCCTGTAATATATAAAAGTTATAACATCATTAGTTTATTGTAATATATAAAAGTTATAACATCATTAGCATCCTGTAATATATATAAAAGTTATAGCATCATTAGTTTCTAGTTTCTTGCAATAACATCATTAGCTGCCTGTAATATATTAAAGATGGGTTCGAAGAAAAGTATTTATCTGGTGGTTATTCCTTGTGTTGTCACGATTACAAAATTCTTGAATCGGTTAATCGGCTAACCAAAAATTGTATCGGTGCCGATTAATCGGATGCCGTATAAATTCTATAATAATGTAAAATAAATGTTTCTTTCGTTGGCTAATAATGTCATTGTCTGTACTGCGTTACAGGGGTTTTCCCTTGTGATTGTTGATATGCGTGAGCACTGAATAGCTGACCGTATATTATTTTAATACATTTCTTTGGGTTTGAGCTACATGTATTTAAAAAGTAACAAAAACAGTACATATACGCAATCCATAAATATATTGTTCAAAAATACACTTCGTTTCGGGTAAAATAGGGGTCTTCAAATTTTAATGCGGAGGATATGACGTCAAAAAAAAGGTCAAACTATCCCAAAATGGCGACTGAAAGAAATGTTGGTGTGTATGTGATATTGGATAAACCTGTTTCACTGAACAACGTTTGTTTGTCAGTAAGTGTTATTGTTGTTCAGAGGTGGATAACACAATAAGGTAGGACATGCATTTAGAATTTATCGACTGACGCCTTTCAGCTCGTGGCTATTTGATGCGCCAACAATTCGGTGGCTCATTTCTCTAAGAAAGGACGACTTAAAGAACCGAGAGGTTACGTGTGAACGAAACCTCGAGGCACCCTGGTGTAGGGCTATGAATGCAAAATTGAGTTATTAATGGATTTATTTACAAATAAGCTTATTTGATAAAGTTACATTTAAATAGCATAAAACTTTATAGATTGAAGATATCTCCATTAGAAGCCAAGATATGGACATTTATGTTCGGTGAATCGGGGTACTTTTTGTCTAAAATTTTATATAGAGAAAGTCAAAATAGACTGAAAGGTCACAGGGGTCAATGGCACAAAATTCAGGAATTAACAATAGATCAGAAGCACATAATAATGCATAATACCTGGACAAAATATCCGATCTTGCTGAAAATTGGCACAACGGACACCCAATCGACGCTCTAAAGTATGACAGGGAAAAAAACCATAGGTCGACCACGATGTCGGCCATTTTGAATAAATTAAAGACAAAAAAAGCGTAATATTGTTGAAATCGTAACTATTTATATTCAAATTCCAGTTACATTTACAGAATAATAAACAATTAATACAACATCTAACCAAATAAGAATCATGGTGATGCAAATATGCAAATAAGGTGATGGAAAATCCAAGATGGCTGCCAGCGTCCACAAACTATTTTATCGCAAACCAAAAAAAAAAAAACTGAACAAATGTAATCATCCAACTTATCAAACTGAAGCAAATATAAACAGCAATTCAAAAATAACACTTTTGCACTTCTTAAACCATTACAGTAATAACAGACCAGACAAATATAACTAAGGATTAAAAAAAAATTCAAAAAGTATCATGTTTAAATGTATTTTCTGTGATAGAAAAGTCATGCAATGTTGCATTAGCATTAATGAATCCAAGGGAGGTAATAGGTGCAGAGTTCACTGCCCTTAGACCACAAATGTGATTAATCTGAGTAAAAATCTGTAAGATTCTGAATATTTTCTACAAAACTGATCATCTTTGGTGGTTGCTCAGTGAACATGCTAAGTAACATTATAATCATTTAAATTCCGTTTTTTGTCAGTCAAATTAAAATATTTACAATATCAGTCATTCTATTTACTACATTTTAGTAATGATAGTGACCCTTGTGAAATTAAGGATAAAGTTAATATTAAGCTGCGTTTTTTTCTTCCCATGCAAGAAAATCAACAGATTTTACAAATCCACTAGCAAACAAATTTTACATGTAATTATAAAGAGCAATATTTATATAAAATTGTGCTGTATAAATAGTACTGAATCAAAGCATCAAACTAATGATTATTTTACTTATTTGTTCACATAAGTATTTGCAATATATCCTTTAGTTTTACTGTTTATTTTGGTGTTTTTTACTGCCACAAAATGTTGTTTTACGTAGTAGGTATTTGTAGTCCTATTCTCAACCCTCCTCCTTTCACAGCTTGGGCTTGGGACCGGCCACGGCGGATTTAAACAGGACAACACTTACACAGACAACACACACAAGAGACCAATTACATAACACACGGTATAATGAACACTTATGACGATAAAGACACACAACGAATACGATGATAGTACTTTTTCAATCCTTTGTCATTGAAATGGATCTTGGCGGTCAAAAAATCATCCTGAAGCTTAATATTTTTGCAAAATACAAAAAAAGACTTGAAACGATCATACAAAAGACGGTTAATTGCCATCTCTTTGGGATTCATACAAGTCTAATGTAAGACCGGGAGATTTTAAGAAATTGTTCCGCTCAACAATACTCCCCACATACACGTCTGCAGCCCACTGCCTTAATTCTTACTACAAGAGCACGTGGGGACGTGGGGACGATGAAACACAGATGTCGTTGCCACCTAAATGAATAGGGGATCACGGTGGCTAAGTGGGTAAGGCGCTGGCTCGCTAGCCTGGAGGTCGGGTGTTCAATCCCTGCATTGGCCGAGAAAGTTCATCCAGATTTTCCGGCGTGGTTCCCCCTTGTCAGTGATGCAGGACGGAGGGCCTGATAAGGACAGCTGTCTAGTCATTCGGATGAGACGAAAAACCGAGGTCCTGTGTACACATTGGCGTGCACGTAAAAGATCCCTTGACAGTTGGAATTCGATATAAGAGTAGGCCGTAGTGCCGCTGTCCGGGCAAAATTACCCTCATAGCACACTGTATGGCGTATGCCCGTCTTCATTAGCCCAGTTCGGAGCAAAACAGTAGGACATTAAACCCCCATTTCATTTCATTTCATTTCCTAAATGAATAAACACAACATCAGGACAAAAGGTTAGAAACAAGAGCCTGAGACGGGTTTGTTGCCTTCATCCCCCCTTTTCCGAAAAACCTCACATCACCAGGAACACATAAATTAGAACAACAATACTTATCTAGACGAGCCACTAAACTTAAACCAATTTTAACCATGATTAATCTGAAAAATAATGTATGATGTACAGAGAAACATAATACTATCTAAAAGATGCATAATGTTTTTGGATATACCGGCAATTCATACATGTATTGTTACATCAATTCAAACACAGAATCTAAATATTGATTATATGTAGCAATATCTTTCTTCTTCAAGTTCAATTTCTTACTTTTATCATTCACCCGTCCAATTTTCTTCCTCAAACTTTCAACATTGAAAGAATCCGAATTTTTGTCTGATATACCGGTAGCAATTAAATGATCAGTAGGCCCCTACATTGATCAATATTGTCAAAATACTGTAATATTAATAATTCAATAATAAAGCCAAATTTTAGTTGATTAAAATAAACAGCTTCAATTTGTAATTTGCTCAAAATTTGCTCTATTTTTGTAGAAATATTTAACTTTTCAGAAAATTTTCCAATGGAATTCAAATAATATTGTTGACTGCAATTTTATCAAAATCAGGTGAAGCCATATTTTTTTTTGCAAATCTGCTATACTATACCTTTACAGCAAAAATAAATATAGGTAGATCTACTACGGTAGATGATGCACCAAGTGTCGTACTGAATTTTAAAAATTTTAATTCAAAAAAGCTTATATTAAAAAATTTCACTCGACAAGGCCTACACAATAACATTGTAATTTGTAAACTTACCAACTTCAATACTTGCCTAGCTAGGCCTACCTAGTAGTACAAAACTGACAATAAAAAGATCTAGACCTAGCCTAGCCTACTAGAAGCTAAAAACAAAAAAATGTAACATGTATTTTAATTGCATTGGTCAAAATCAAACTACAAATTGGGCCTTAATAAAATTAAAAAAGGTAAAAGAAAGAAGGGAAGACCGTACCATCCAGACGTTTTTTTGTTTTTTACTGAAGACAGACATACGTGTCATAATACTGGATGAATAGGGCTACGTCCTCTCGTAACGGTTTCATCATTTTGAATGAGTCATAAATATCAATTTATGCCACACACGCACACAGTCATTGTACACAATGTAAAGTGTAGAAATGAATTTCCAACATCGTTTTGCGAATAAGTTGGATCTGCATACTTACATTTTTGCACAATCTTCTTCTGTAAGCGTTCTCGAAAGAACTTCCGCCGTAATCGGGCCACGCCTCCTGGATTTCGTGAACAGAATTGACGCTGACCCTTACTCGCATATCACGGTCGTAGCTATTTATTTATGAATATTTTAGTATAATTTTTTTTGCAGTTGGTAGAAAACATATTCGTCTTCACAAATCCGAGTGCGCGTGTAAAAATTTTATTTTCTAAA